CACGTGATGTATCGCGCCAAGGACTGTGTGATGGCAGAGCTTCACGATGGAGACCGCTTAACATTCGCCTCTTGCCGAGTCTGTTGGCGGAATTTTAGCGTCTGAATACTGGAGTGTTGACGGAGGTTCAGTGTGACGAACGCGGGTGATTCAGACGTGCGATTGTTTTGCGCAGTCCCTCATGGTTCACCAGTGGCCCGGGTGCTTACGGAGTGGATGCAGCGCACATTCAACAACGCAAGTACAACGATGTTCAGATCGTGATGGTCGGTCGCGTTGGTAATCTTACTAACAAGATTGTTGCTGTGGCACTAGCTCCAGTCGAAGACTATGACAATTACCTGTGGCTTTCCACTGACTGCATGCCCAGTCTTTAGCGATCGCAACGTCAGTTTGGTGTCGGTCGCGGAATCACTCGGGATCTTCTACATGTTTTGTGTTCGTCACATCATCGGTACGTGGTCTAGAGTACATGTTTCGCTAGTACTCACATGTATTATTTCTCTGTAGGGAATACGAGAGCTAATAAGACTGTCAGACTAACCGTGACTCAAGAGCAATTTGTGTGGGAAGAGAACGCAGCTGTGTCATATGTCGACTACGATGTCGCTATCGGAAAGCTTAATGATGTAAACCCAGCAGCTACAATTTATCTTAGCGCCATACCTGCAAGCAAGTGGACACTTCACCCCCATGTCACCACAACACCCTTGTATGGCTGGCGGACGACGAACTTCGTGGAAAGCGAACAAGCGAATAGTCTTCGTCTTTAGCCACGCAAAATGCAACCATATGAGTTTTTCAAGTCAACTCTGACAGTTTCATGGGTGAGGTGTACAATCGGATCCGACTAGGTCAGTTGTGGGTGAATGCGGAGCGTAAGCTGACGCCCGGTGCAGAACGTAAACTTCAAGCTCAACTCGGAGATGCAGCGGACTCCATGATGACATTTAGTTCAGATGACGTTGCATTCACTGCCAGAATCAGTACCCCGATGAAGCAGCGTCGCGTTGACTTGACATCATCGACGTGTTCATGCTTAACGCGGACTCAACATCGAGATGCGTGTCGCCATCTAATTGCGACTCTTCTCGAGTGCAACGTGGTAGAGTCGGCGTATGAGTTGAGGGGTGAATGCTATACAGTGGCCTCGTACCAAGAATATCTATCTCAAAACACTAGAGATCCCTGAGGACGACTCACTTACAGTTGACCTTAGTATCTTTCCAGCAGCGGATAATCGACAAGCAGGTCGTCCAAGAAAACGACGCATTAGATCCCATGGTGAGGTTGACGGAAAGGCGAGGAAGCCATACAAGTGCACCATCTGTAGGGTGCTCGGCCACAACAGAGCAACATGCCGATTGACGGCTTAGGCCAAATTGTCGATCAGCATTTTTCCACTCGAGTACAGCACATCGGTTATATGCACCATTGACATCCATATAAACATGCATCGTTTGAAGGTTGTCACTAAATATCAATACCTGCATCGCTGAAGCATCAGTATCTGATGCGACCCTGTTTGGTGACTGGAGGACAACTAATCCACTTTATTTTTGCTGCATGCGCCTGAAAGATAGACTCTGCTATTGACCTTCCCCGTACTTTTCATAACAATGGTGTTTAGAATTACATCTCGCGAATATTTTCTATTTGTATCACCTTTTGCAATAAACCCTTATATTCGGCTTCGTTCGTCATATTGACAAGTGCAATCCGATGTATCAGGGTTGCCGTGCAAATCCTACAATCTAAGCCTTAACTCTGCGAGTCTCCGTGGACGACCTAGCTGACGCGCTGTTACTCTACATAAGCAAAATCACTCTCTGTATGCACCAGCAGCCCAGTTGAATAGATTGCGCGTGTTAGAAATGTGTCTCCATATCTGTGGTAGAGTCTAATAGGTTATTGTGTACTGAACATATCTCTTGAGATGTGTTTAAATTCAGCACGCATATTCCGGATCAGGTTGAATGGTAGATTACATACGTAGACTCGGATGTGTTCAAGCTGAGCTTAAGAAGCTACAGTATCGAAGTCGCCATTGTCAAGTTTGAGCTAAAACCGCAAAATTCTATCCCCAGGACATTGCGCTTCTCAATGTTCGCGCGCTTCTTGATGCTTCTATCAGGATGTGCTTTGCTAGCAAGCGTCAGCGCTAATGCTTCATTGATGGATGCAGTTATGACGAAGAAAAGTCAAGTCTCAGACCTTGAGCACGTCGCTGAAACTGTTCAAGCCCGTCGAAATCTGCGAGGGCTTATTAGTTTGGACGCAAATGAAGCCAATACTCACGAGGAACGGATTTTGGCGACCATCATCAAACCGGATTTTAATCCTTCAGGCTTAGTGTGGAAACTCAAAAGAAATGAACCTGCCTTACAACCAGGGTCGCTGCATTTTCTCTCGAATCGACTACCAAGATCAAAAACTAGCCAGGAGTCTCTGATTGAGAAAACAGGGATAGCCAGCTATGCGAACAAGAAACATTAAGTAGAAGATAGTGTCGAATATTCCTTATAACATTGTTGACTGCATCTTTTGTCAGATGAAAGCAAATAAAAGATCTTTGATTCGTCAC